GAGAAGGCCGTGTGGTGCGGTTGACCGCAGGAAGGACTGAAAGTGAGACTTGACGGCGGATCCCAGTTGTCAGTAGTGACTTTTTTTTTTCTTCCCCCCCGTTAAGATTCCTCTATTTCCCGAAAGGGAGTGGGAAATTTCGTGTTGTTGTCAATGTCGGAAAATGAAATACACCAGATGTGCGGGAGGAATATCAAGATCGACAGGCCCCGAAGGATGCCAATAGACTACTAAGTGGACGTAAAAGACGTCCGTGGCAACAGCAGGGAGCGCGGAACACTGATGTGTGGAAGATGTACAGGAGCAGAAATGCGATAAGGTGAAGAAAACCAAAAGGCAATCAAGGAGGTATGAAGAGAAGAAGGAGAGACAGAAGGGCCGCTGAAGCTGTCAAAATAGTCAAATGAAGGTAGCGGCGGTAGAAGAATCAAGCCACTAGGGCGGACTCGTGGGGTGAGCGCTCCAAGTAGCAAATGGGTCAGTAGGTCGTAACCAACAGGACGGAACTAGTAGTTCGGCCGTAGTTAGATAGAAGGTTTGACCAGGGCCGAAATGATATAGGCACAGGGAAGGGAGAAGAGAATAACGGAAGATGGTAGACTAGCATAAGTAGAATCGGGAGGAAGGAAACAAGCAGAGGAAGAAGTGGGACAAGAATGGGAAACGCGACAAGCCCAGAGAAAGAGAGGGTAAAGAAGAGGGAAGAGAAAGAGACAAGAAGAATCAGGAAAGCCGTCCAGGATCCCGACCAGTCCACGTCCTCGCCCCTAGTCCCGATATGTTAATATGACGGATCCTCCATCCACCAAGAACCAGAGAAAATCGCGATTACTCTCCTTTCCCTTTCGTTTTATGGTTTAATACATGGTCCAGTGTCCCGGTGCTTTGGCTAGCCTTCCCGCGCCGCTAAAGGTTTTTTTCTTTTTCCTTTTTTTTTTTCTTGGGGTGGGTGATAGTGCCTATAGTATAGCCATTACTTTGTTCCCCTTACTCTATTAATGCGGCGTTGTGGCCCGCTGGGTGATCTACGTGGTTACTGGGTTTAGCGGGAATACATTTTAGCAATATCACGGATGCTTGTCGCTGGTCTTGTTAGAAAGGGATTGTGTGGGCCGAGTGACCCGATATGAAGAATGATGTTGATACCCGGGAGGGGCCATGGAAAGGATCAATTAGGACGAGAATGGGATAAAACCAGGAGGACTCGTGGAGAGTGTCTTAAAGGGGCAGACGAAAAGAACAAGAGAGAGAAGAACAAAAAAAAAAAAAAAAAATTGTATAAAGGACGAGAGGAGAAATTTCTATGTTTAAATATAAAAGAGGGCCTAAACCAGACTAGCATTTCCGTTGTTCATTCATCGATGTATTCCCGAGTTTGTACACTATCAACGAGAAATGGTAGGCTTTTTTTCCCCCCGAAAATGGAGACTGGAGGATACGAATGATCAAATAAAAATAAAACAAGGCAATAAGGAAAGAGGGTATGGACATTGAACACACAATCTGTGGCAGGAATGTTGTCACGTAGGGCAGCGCATGCGCGGATCTGGAAAATCCCAAATGCCAAGTCTATCGAGGGAAAAGCAGGCGCAGCAAATCTTGAAGCGGAGGAGAGGCAGTAGGCTGACTCTCATGCCCATATAATTACGAACTAATATTATTACGGCGCACTAAGATGATACTAAATTGTCTGGATCCATGATACTCCTATCTTACCGGGGATAAATTCCCAGAAGGCAGACGGTAAGTTCAAAGTAGGGGTACTATACGAATGGGTGATACCGCATTATTACTGCAGGTCATTTTCTTTTTGGAAATCTGCCCACGTCTCAGAATTTGCAGAACAACCAACTTGATCTCTTTTCCGGGAGGGGATGATATCATCCGATAATTGACGCCGGGTCAGAGCACGGAGTGATGCTGGTTCGCACAGTGACTTACTCTTGGGAACTAACTACTAGGACAAGTTAGGCAATTATACTAGATAACTACTTACTCATTGGTATGAGCACGGCCTTTGGGTCAAAGTTTGTCGGACCTATTTTCTCCTTGGTTGTCAGTTAAGTGACGGTAACAAGAACCCTCAGCAAACAACTAAATCGATAGCACCCAGAATGATATTTTACGAGAGGGAGGGATGTGGAGGGGCGTTTTTTGCAAAGTGGTTTGTACAACCGAGCGATCAGAGAAGGAGGGCATGGATGGATACGTATCTCTGAAAATGGTAAGGTTCTGGCTACTACTTAGGTCGACGACCGAAAACTCGGTTCAAAAACGACCATAGGGAAAGGGAGCATGGTGCAGGTCCCATGGTTCCATTACCTGCAGGCTAGGCGGTTAGCGGTGATTAGCAGCTACACAGTAGATCCTCAAACATGGGGTTCTTTATGTAGACTACAGCTGATCTGCCACGACAATGAGATAACCTGTTAAGCATAATGGCGTGCCGGCACTGACAGGAGGTAAAACAAAATCAATATTGTTTCGTTCGACCGAAAGGGGGGGGCCATTGCAGTAAGGTTGAGATGATGATAACACATTCCGGTAGCCACGGAGGAAAGCCCTTAGCGTCATTTATGATTATGTAGGGTATCGAATTCTTACTGGGGTCTGCCCCGCGAGGGCGGACCTTTCCTGGCTCGACTTTTGTCTTGGCTAGTATCCTTCTCTTCATTACTCCGTATGCAATCCAACGGTCTTATCCACAAAGACAATCCGCGTATCAATTGGGTCAACAGTCGACAATCCATTAATATAATCTTAATCGTATTACCCCCGATCCAGTGCGCTCTGGTCGCTCTGGTCGTAGACATTAACTCAAAACCGGTCGAGCGACCAACGTACCTTAGGTACTTGTTGGATCATATACCACCATTGACTCGGGCCAATGACATTCACCGCAACAAGAGAATAATTCTCCACGGTCGATGATTTGTTGCGCGTTGATTGTCCTCGCCTTTGCGTTGCCACATTACAACCTACGGCTAATCTGCCACACGACCGAAACAAAATGTCCGTCTCGGGTAAGGGCAAAATTGGAGGGTGTGTCGATAATATTAGTAGTATCAGTCGTGGTCTAGCGCCTGTTGCATTTTCGACTAAAATGAAGCCTTGACGCCGCGTGTCCTCCTGAGTTTGATTAAGTGCAGCCTTACATCTAGCAGTGAATGATTGAATCTATTACTCTTAACCATGACAGGGTTCACGATGGTCAATGCTAGGCTGTGAGTATGATTGTACCAAAGAATATGTATCATCGCTTACTGTCCAGGGTCGAAGTATCTCTCGTCATCCGACAATCAACCCAGTTACATTAAGTCCTAAAACTTTGCTCGCTAGGCTTAAAACATAAAAATATGTCGGCATGAGGATCGTGCTTATCTTCTCAAGCAGAAGTGATAGGAGCTTAATTGTTTCCGAGGAAAGACCAGAGAATATATTTTTCTTTCAGCCATTTCTCTCCTGCTTATTTTGGCAGTGAAAGACGGATTTGATTATGCCTATGGGTCGTGCGAGCATAATAATAAAAATAATAATACAATGAAGTGTTCCGTACGGAGTAAGAGTATTACCCAGTAGGACCTTAGTAAAAGGTTCAAGTTGTTACTTCGTTTCGGCCGTGGTGGTCACATCTAAGTGGACCACGGATGAGGTTTTTTTTTTTTTTTTTTCCCTTCCTCTTCTGGCATCCATCGTTCTGGATGGCCTCTCGCCCGACTCACCCGTATGTGGTAACATAAAGTTCCACTTTCCTTTCTTTTTTCTTTTTTCTCTTCTTTTCTTTTCTTGGAATACTTGAGCATAAAAAAAATAAAGAAGAATAATTTATCCAGATCCTTCTATATTTGTGTACCTCGGGGAACTAGCGAGTAAGAAGTGAGGGGACAATGTAAAGAAGATATCCAGCGTCAAGGGGGATGTCCATAACTAGAGGTACGGAGCACCGCAAGCCACTCGTGCACATGCTTGCGGAGCATAACAACCAGGGCAAATTAGTCAGTAGTGGGAAAACGGTATCATCAGGTGATTATTAGCAACGCATTGTGCAGGGTATAAACGACCCTTTCAACCTCTCAACCCGAACAAAAGCGACAGAGGAAGACAGATGAATATAAGAAAAAAAGGATATGACCAAAACCAATGATATCTAACAGTCTATATATGCAAGTTTTTTTTTGTTTCGGATGTTAAATGGAATTATTAGTTATTCACACACTTTTCCGTAATATATATTTTATTTAATCTTCAGAGGACACGGAAAATAGAAGGCATGGCGAATGGATTACGGAGTATGTCTGTGCTTGAGGGCGGCCGTCCACCTTACTGGATCCAAGGGTGGGAATCGGTGGGTTCTCATTAGCCCTCTTCAAACATGGTGGACAGTTAGTTAGATTACCGCGTTGGGAACAACTTATCCGGGTCAATTATTGGACTAGAGCAGGCCAACCTTTGTTAGGTTAGGCGGCTGCCGCGACTCATCCCTCAATGGGCTTGCTGATCACCAGGGCTCCGGTTAGTGGATGAGATGAGCCAGGAACGCTGGGAATTTGCTGCATTTCCGGGCGGCCTTGGAGCCTAAGGCAGAGATGAGACAGGCGAGATTTTCGGCCTCAGGCTCCGGCGGCTGGGGCTAGGTGCAATACGTATCCCGCGTTGCGCGTTGCTGCCTTTCATTGATCGTGATTGTTACCTAGTACCTGAGTATTAAGTTTCCTATTATTACTAGCATCCTGCTTATATAGAAAAGCAGGAAAGTTTTTTCAGATCGCCTTCTTGAGGCGGGCCATAAATACCCAGCATAGAATTCCTTTCTACTATAGGTACTAAGGTGAAAAACAAGAGCCCGCGCTATTGGTATTTAAGGATATAAATAAACCACTTCCAGACAGCATCCCCCCGATCTGCCCTACCTTGTCACTGGCGCTGTCATCTGTATTGGGCATATTCATGGGAGCTTGTTTACCATCACACCAGGTTTTCAGGTGATATATGCCCCAGGCATGTCAGCGCGGTCCGATCAGCCATTTCAGTTCCATGGCTTCCAGACCACCATTGATGTTGCTCGTCAGCAAAATCATGATGTAGCTCCCTTAGCGGGACAAAAACGACTTCCAGATCATAACCCGGACAATGCTCATAAAATTTCCGTTCTAAGTCACCCTACCTCCACCAGCCACTTGAGTTCTCGTCCAGTCGATTTTGTCCGGCCTTCTGTGGCCCCTCCTAGGAGTCGTCTAACTGCCAGTGAGATCCGTCCTGTAGCGGCAATTATCCCAGAAAGAAAGCCGGCAACAGCTACCAGTGAAGACTATGTCTATGACCCTTGTCTATTCTTGAAAAATCCCCGATATGGATTGTCACCGGCACTAGTAACTAATTTTGCTTCTGTCGGTGTCAAGAGCATCTATCCATGGCAGGCTTCATGTTTGCTTGCCCCGGGTCTGCTTGAAGGTGAAAAGCATCTGGTCTATACAGCCCCTACGGGGGGAGGAAAGTCTCTCGTAGCCGACGTGCTGATGCTGAAACGTATCATCGAGAATCCTTCACGTAAAGCCATTTTGGTTCTTCCGTACGTCGCACTAGTACAGGAAAAGCTGAAATGGCTTAGACGCATTGTTCAGGATGTTGAAAAACGGATTGACAACATCGACGATCAAGCAGCTGGCGCGAAGCCATATCATCAACGTTGGAAGAAGCTACAAAAGTCGATCCGCGTCACTGGTTTTTTCGGAGGTAGCAGGACAACCGCTACCTGGGCCGATACGGATATTGCGGTTTGCACGATAGAGAAGGTCTGTCAGCGTTGCATACAGTTATATGCAGGGAAAAGTCTAACGAGCATATATTAGGCCAACTCATTGATCAACACTGCTATCGAAGAATGCAATATCGGAGATCTGGGCGTAGTTGTCCTGGACGAGCTACATATGCTTGATGATGAAAATCGCGGGTATCTTCTGGAGCTGATGGTCACCAAGATACTTCTACTGCAGCAAGATATCCAGATAATTGGCATGAGCGCCACTCTGTCGGTATGGCTATTCTTTGTCACCAATGTCGACACTAAGAAAGCAGGCTGACAAACCACCAGAACACTGAATTACTTGCAGAGTGGATGAACGCAAACTACTATATCTCAACATATCGGCCTATTCCGATTGATGACTATCTCGTATATGAGAACGCGATTTATCCCGCAGCAACCTCAAGACAGCTATTACAGACGATCACAAGATTGGCATCAATGTCCACCGTATCCCTTACGGACACTATGCCTCCCCATCGCATAATCCAGCCCCCAGCGTTTCGAGAATTTGCAAATCCAACCACAAATGCGATGGTAGCTTTATCGATCGATACGGCTGCTGCAGGATATGGTGCATTGGTTTTCTGCGGTAGCAGACAGGCTTGCCAACTTCATGCCTCTATTATTAGTGAAGCCATGCCAATACCAGCCGCAGTAGATCCAGAGGAACTAAGCAGACGATTGGACCTGCTCGCTGAACTACGAAGCCTTCCTAGTGGCCTTGATCCTGTCCTCGAGAATACGCTGGTCAGAGGCGTAGGCTTCCACCGTGAGTGATCCATGTAAGCTACCGCCTCTCATTGATATGAACTGACTTTGCTCTAGATGCGGGCATGACAACAGAAGAACGTGAATTCATAGCGCAGGCTTATGATCAAGGTGTTTTGAAAATTCTCGTAGCCACTTGCAGTCTTGCGGCCGGAGTCAATCTTCCTGCCAGGAGAGTCATTATCAATGGTGCTCGTATGGGACGTGACTTGGTGGGACCGGCAATGCTGTAGGGACATTCCCTTGCACATTTCCAAAAAACCTCGAGCTAACCGTCGAAGGCGTCAAATGTGTGGGCGAGCTGGTCGCAAGGGAAAGGATGAGGCAGGCGAGACCTACCTCATTTGTGGAAAGTCCGAACTACAGGCAGTCTGTGATCTGCTGGAAGCTGATATGCCAGCAATCGAGAGCTGTCTAGCGCCAGAGAAGCGTGGTCTCAAAAGGTAGATGACCAAAACGAACGATAACTAGTCATGGGCTCATACCTGTCTAGAGCGATTTTGGAAGCTATAGCTACAGGTCTCGTCTCTGGTATTGAAGCGATCAAGGAATACGTGAAATGTACCCTTCTTTACCGGACCATGGACAAAAAGATAGCGTACAACATTATGAACTCTGCTCTCCAAGAATTGGTCAGCGAAGATCTTCTGCATCAGAACGACGACGAATCATATGTTGCGACACAACTTGGCCAAGCTGTCGTTGCATCTGCATTCACACCCGAGGATGGTCTTTTTGTTTACGAAGAGCTAAACAGAGCGTTACAGGCTTTTGTGATGGATGGTGACATGCATGTCTTCTACATGTTCACCCCTCTCCAGGTAGCGACGACCACACAAGTCGATTGGCCCATCTTTCGAGACCAGCTAGACAATCTTGACGAAAGCGGGCTGCGTGCTTTGCAATTTATTGGTGTTCAACCAGGCTTTGTGAACAGAATGTATGTTGATCTCAACATGACGCAAGAGCGTACTAATAAGGCCACAGGGTTCAAAGCGGTGCATCTCTTAAAGAAGACACTCCAGAGCAGATCAAACTGGCCGCCGTCTACCGCCGTGCTTACACTGCGCTTCAGCTTCGTGATTTGAGCAATGAGGTTCCTCTATCGGTGATCGCCAGTCGCTACCGGACCCCTCGCGGGGCAGTCCAGACATTGGCCCAACAGTGCCACGGGTTTGCCGCTGGTATGGTCAAGTTCTGCCAACGCATGGGCTGGGGAATGCTTGCGGCAGTCCTTGATCATATGCGGGATCGATTGGAAGCCGGTGCTCGCGCTGATTTATTGGAAATGGCTCAAGTCACTTATGTCAAAGGCTGGACAGCTAGGTTGCTTCGAGACAACGGGTTCCGAAACTTGAGGGCGTTGGCAGAGGCCGATGCAAAGGATCTTGTCCCCATATTAATGATGGTAGTATGAACGTCTCCCTGAAGCAGAAAATTTACTAACTTGCACCAGGTAAATCCACGAAAAGCACAGAGAAGCCAAGCCGACCCCTCAGAAGCGGAACGGTATGCCAAAAAGCTGCTTGCTAAAGCAGAAGTAATTGTTGCATCAGCAAATAAGATTTGGGGTACGTATAGTATTTCGCAGCGTTCAGTGTCTAATAAGTTTTAACAATGCCACAGAACGTGAAATGCAAGTCGAATTGGATGAGTAAGGCGTAGTATACTCACGCATATGAGAGTATTAGCATTGACAAAATCCTGGAACTTTTACGGAGAAAATAATGTCACTCTTTCTCGGCTATTCTATGGCAGATTGGAAGGGATACCTAACATGTATATATATATACAAGCTATGATGTGTATATCCATAAGAAGCCGAGGCATTGGGGTGTATAGTTGATTTACTATGATGATGATGATGATGATGATGATGATGTTAAGAGGACTTGAACTTATACAAAGCAGATGTCTTCTAGCTAATGAACATGATACATGACTACAGTAGTAATAGTAGTAAGGCATTGATCCCAAGAGAATTGTATACAACTAATCTAAACCCCGTTCAGCGTGTTTTGAGCTTTCATAACCTCACCCTGATCTACAAAATCCACAAGGACCACATTAGGCAGCCGTTTATACATGGACCGACACAAGTCGGACTGTGCCCCGATGCTCCCATTGCCCGAGACAGCATTGGTCTTGGGCGCACGGATCCGGTCGGGCACCAGGACCCCCAGCACATTGACATCTAAGAAATGATTGACGATATACATGCGCCCGTCAGCCGATGCGCCTGAGGGCCGATCGATACTGCAATTCGGGAACGAGGCATCCGTCACATCGTAGGGCGTCTCGAAAAAGTAACCGAATTCGTCCAATATATACGGAACGGGTTTAGTGTCGGCGCCGTAATCTAGAAGCAGTATGCTCAATATACACACCCCTATCGGAACAAGGCCAAAGGAAAAAGTCTCTGACAAATAGTGGAGATTTTATATCCACTATATAGGTACGACCCAAGACATCCACTCCCAGATACTACCTAATTCGTATTCGGAAGAAAAATAAAGGGAAAAACACGTGTACTTACCCAAAAATACCACAAGTCGCTTCCCCGTACTAATCAGATCCCCCAACGTCGGCCACGAATCTAAGGCCAGCACATCCGGCGACGAGCTCGGTACGAATGCATAATCCTTAATCCCGGCACTGGCGAATACCTCATCGAACCGCGTCACGGGGAAGCCATCGCCATTTGTAAGCAGCAGGGTTACCACCTCATCGGGATGGCTGTCCAGCCAGGTCTTGACCGTGCCCAGGAAGGACTCTAGGGTTCCCGCGTCCTCGAGAAGACAGGATGTATGACATAGTTGGATGGTGTTGGCTTTGTCAAGGGCTTTATGGGTTTGACCCTGCAGGAAGCGGATCCCCAGGTCAAGTTGTTCTGTTACCTCCAGGTTTTGATTATGCTGTGGGAGGGGGCCGACGAAGGGACTGTCGTGGGCGCCCAGTTGGGTGATGTTGGAGTACTTGCGGGTGCAGAATGTGGATTGGCCATTGCAGGTTGATGGGTCGCATTGGACGATTGGAATGGCGGAGAGGGCGAGGAGGAGAGGAAGTATGTAGGAGAGGATGGGATGTTTGTTGGAAGGCATGTTTATATTATATATGAAGGGCTACTACTAGTAGTATTGTAAGGGTATCATATCTGGGTGTTAGACTGCAAGAATATTATCATCCCTTCTTTCGGTGTATTTATAGTAAAGAAATTTTGATTATTTATATTCCTGAATTTTCGTCTGCACTAGGATGAGGGCTGAATGCTACCAAATGATCAAATCATGCAGTGCTGAAGAATGAATGTATAGCATGTGGCCAATCAATGCCTTGTGACTTGCCTTGTGAGAAGCGCTATAGAGAGATGGGATGGGAACAATATAGACAAAGGTTAATTAACTCTTCAGAAAGGTTAGTGTCACTACAAGAACGGGACAGGGGAGCACTATGCCGAAGACGAGACAAGGATATGAGATGAAAGAGTTGACCTGGTCCAGTCGATGTAACTCGGGGTCTGCGGGTGATTTGAATAGTAGTTGGACTAAGGCACCTTAAGGCACGCTTGTCACATGCTAACATTGGTAACACACCCGAACAAACTGCTGAGGATCCCCTGGATGGAGTGTAAAATATGACTAGATCATGGTAATACGATTCATACTAATAAGTGTAGTCACCTGGAAAGAAGTCCATCAATGTAGGTCAGAAGCTCGATTGATAAATGCATATCAGGGAATGCGATAACTTCTTAACATTGAATGAGTGATATGTACTGTCTAAAAGACTAGCCAAAAGCCCCATCTATAATAATTTATAGTTTTACACTTAAAATATTGTGGTGGACCGTCGGGATACCATCCTTAGTCATTGTTGTTCTGCAAGCTGTTTATGTTTGCTGTCTTACAACACAACTACTTTGCATACACCGCTCATAGCATTTTGACTGATGACTTAGGTGTGATCAGAATGCCCAGACTGCGGCAGATGAAGAGGGGCTGGATATCCTATAGGAGCATAAGAATTGTGCGAGGGTAAGGAGGAGCCGCTTGGAACAAATCCCTAGCATCCCTATATAATGTGTCAACAATGACAGTATTATGACCGACAAGCAAGAAAGGATGAGTTGTTCTTGTTATGTACCATGTACTTGAGAGCCACTCGTGGCTTTGTGGGGCACCGCCTCCCCCGGAAGCCAAGCAAAACCAACCAATGTTGACCTGAGGCCGGAAGGGACTCACAGCCTCCAGCTCTCCTCATTACCTCCCGTCGATGATCTTCACCTTCTCCGACTTGCGACAAAGCCGAGCTCGTGGGTACTCTTGCTCGGTTTACACAACACCTTGTCAGTTAATTGCATCTCGATCCTGACTCAGTCGTCCACCAGGAATATTTTCCTGCCAACCAGTCGGATTGTCGGCAACCGCTCCTCCGTTTTGTTTTCCGCACCCAAGGTATCCCATCTATCGGCCCGCACTCGGCCAGTCGTCCACTGAAGCTTTGTGACCTGAGGGTGTCAGACAGTCATCGACCAGAACGTATCGGCGCCGCTCTTAACCTTGATTCCGTGACCGTTTCCCCCTGCGATAGTGTCGAAGCGATGGTCATTCGAACATTTTGCTGATGAGCTCCATGATTGAGGGCAGTGATGACCGGGCACGAGAGGATGAGCTCGACTTGGGGGAAGAGGACGAGGGAGATGTTCAGCCAAAGAGTAACGGCGTCTCTGTCGATGGGGTGTCAGCTGAGGGGTATGGGGAGAGCTCAATGGCATACGTTGAAGAGGATCTCCCCGATGTAACCAGCCCAAACCAGTCGTTCGATACAAGGAACTCCCAACTTGACGCCGGTACGGGCAATGCACCATTGTCTCCCCGTATCAGACAACTTGGTACTCCCGGAAGTGTCGATGAGACAGCTTCCACACCAGACGATACTCCTTCTCTGCATGTGTGTTGTGACTATTATTTTCAGTTGTGCTCTCCGCTGATCGCTATAGGATTCTCTTTTGTCGTCGCAAAGTAGCAATGCTTTGGCCCTTCGAGGCTCATCTCGTGCCAGTCCAAGTCCGTCGCATCGTCCCTTCGATCTCCGCTTTCAGTCCCGCCTTTCGTCTCCGTCTTTGAGCGGGGCTCGACCGTCCTCGCCATTCTTCGCTCACATTCACTCCCGAAAGTCATCGCTTACGAGCCGCCTCACTCCGGGTACCGTGGATTCTGATGCTGAGACGCCCTTAGGTCCTTGGGATGTTGTGCGGTGGACTAAGTTAAGAAAGATAACTGGCCAGGCATTTTCGGAGGTCGGCAAACGTAATTTTGGTTATCCCACATGTTTGGCGGTCTCCACTGCCATAGTGATTGGAACGTCCAAGGGAATCATTCTGGTGTTTGACTATCAGCAAAGTCTCAAAGCGATCATTGGACAAGGGACTAAGGGTATGTTGGAAGCCTGCCGCGCCTTATTTTTCTGATCTCCGTTAACTTCTTCATATAGCTACCGAATGTGGAGCAATCACGTCGTTGGCACTATCCGCGGACCACACGACGGTTGCCGGGGGGCATGTTTCGGGTGATATATTTACATGGGAGATTGTGAGACCGGCGCGGCCTTTTCTTCAAATACCACCTCTCTCCGAAAGCCAGGTTGATACTCACACTGCCGATGGCCACGTTCCCGGGTCGTCTGTCATTCATGTAGGCTTCCTTGGTACAAGGCGCACTGCGCTCGTATCCGCCGATAAGTCAGGGATGGCTTTCTCACATCTGGCGACTCGAGGCTTGGGGGCGATGGGACGGACAGTGAAGACGACAAGGATCTTAGGTCGTTATCCTCAACATATAGCGCACGGCAACCGGCCGCGCAAGCCTAGCTCTGTCCTTGCATTTTCACCTCTCCCTCTCGGAAATGTCGAGCAGCCAACCGATTCTTTGGGCTTGGTTGCAATGCTTACTCCGTATCTTCTAGTTATTGTCTCGACCACACCTGTAGCACAGACCCAACATAAGGCGCCACGCCCAAAAGAGGTTGCCGCCCATGGCGCGATGACTGGAGCCTTGGCCTGGTTTCCAGCGATTAAGCTCAAGGGCAATGATGCGCAAACTTCGAAAACAAAACTTGTTTATTGTTGGTCAAATGTATTGACTATCCTAGACGTGTCTGAGATTGAAGCAGAGGAATCACCGAGCAGGGACAAACCACCTAGCCTGGAGTTTAAAGCGCGGAACAGATGGAAGGCTGAAGAAGCGATTGTTGCTGTGCAATGGCTGAGTCGCTCGGTCCTGGCAGTGCTGACTATAACGCAACAATTACTTATTCTTGAAGATCATTCTATGCGTGTAACGGATAGCATTGATCTTCTTAACAAACATATATACCATGCCGATTTGTTCTCCTCCCAGCTTCATTCTCTGGTCGAACAGTTCAACGAAGAAGATACCTCGATGCATGGCGTGGTAGCCGATGCTTTTTATATGAGCTTTCGCTCTTATAAAGGGCGTCTATTCTTGTTGGGCTATAGCGATGCACTTGTTGGAGCCCTCTCCAATTGGGCAGACCGATTGCTTGCACTCATGGAGGCTGGAGACTTCATTGGGGCCATTCGCCTAGCAACGTCCTTCTACAAAGGCAGCGGCGAAAAGCTCACCATTGGATTGCCTGATGAAGATGCACTGAGACAGCCTATCGTGCAAGAGAAACTCCTGGAAATGGTATCAGCCTCGCTGAAGTATGCCTTTGGTCGGAACCAGGAAGCTAACACGGAGCGGCTGGGAAATCAACAGCTTGAGGAATTGGCCGAGGTCTCCATTTTGGCTTGTGTCTCTATGGATGATGAGGATTTCCTCTGGGACGAGGTATTCAACTGGTATGAAGAGCATGACTCGCAAGGCGTTTTCCTCGATGCCCTTGAATCATACATAGTTGAAGGAACAGTGCGCACTCTCCCCCCTACTGCCGTTAAAGCGCTTATCAATCATTTTGCCACGAACCATACTGCCAGTCGATTGGAAGAGATCATCTGTCTACTTGACACGGCCACCATGGATATTGACCAAGTGACGACACTGTGTAAACATTATAACTTGTATGACGCATTCATTTACGTCTGGAATCGCTGTGTAGGAGATTACGTGGGGCCACTGCAAGAACTCTTAGCATTAGTCCCACCCCAAGGAACTTGGGTTAACGGGGGCTCGGTGGAGGAACTTAAACGATATACGAACGCGATGAAGATGTTTCCATATCTCTCTTTTGTCTTAACGGGCCGTGTATACCCTACTGGGAATGACCTGGATGACGCCAAAGCTACTCAGGCTAAGGCAGCCTTGTACGAATATCTGTTCTCTGGGAACCTGTCTGGGCCAGAATCAGGGGCCCATACCCAATCGAATGGGTTGTTCTCGGATTTGCAAGCTATCCTGAAATTCGATACCCCCAGCTTCATGAGCATGCTCAATGAAGCATTCGAGGATAGTTTTTTGAACGAACAAGAGCCAGACGAGACACCTTTCAGAGGGATATCCATCAATCGCCAATACTTAATCAGCATTCTGCTCCAGGTCATGACACCGTCAGCCTTCGCTCCATCTGATACCATCTACCTAGACATGTTCCTTGCTCGCAACCTTCCTAAATACCCTCAATACATTCTACTCTCTGGAAGTACACTCCACCAGGTTTTGGAGCGGTTGTGCCGATACCCAAACCAAGATATGGCAGAGGACTGCGAACTCAGCGCGGAGTACCTCTTATCTTTCTATCACCCTCCAGATATTCAGAGCATGATCCCGCTCTTTCACGAAGCGCGTTTCTTCCGGATTCTCAAGTCAACCTATCGCTCCGAGAAGCAATTTCCTGAGTTAATACTGACCTATCTGGAAGACCGCAGTGGGCAAGAGGCGCTTTTTACCTGCCTACAGGATTGCCTGCGGGCCGGCTCCGGGTTAGGGAAAAGGCAAAGGCGAGATGTTATAGAAGTGATTAAAACCCGCGCTGGCCAGATAGCAGAGATAGATGTCCAGAAGGCCGCTCAGACAATGCAGGATTATGCTCCTGAAACGCATGCAATGTTCCTCGAAGCACTGGAAAACGATGCCTACGAGCAGTACCAGTACTTGACTGTCGTGGTTGACCCGACGACGCATCCCGGCGCTGAGCGGCGGCTTTCGAAGCCAGTAGAGAATTGGATGGTAGAGCGCTACGTGCAATTGCTTTGCAAGTATAACCCTTCACATGTCGCTGATTTCGTTGATGAGCTGCGAGTAGGCGACGTTCGGCTCGAGGAGCTGCTCCCTTCAATGGAGGAAAGTGGGGTAGTGGATGCAGCTGTCATTCTGCTGGCCAGACAAGGCCAGATTAGAGCTGCTATGGACCGTCTCATTGCGCATCTTAAGACACTAGAGTCGGGCCTCGTTGGTATTCTCCGAAGTATACAGGAGACCCCAGACTCCGCCAGCACGGCAGAAGCGATTGATGATCTTGTTGAATCTTTAAACAAGTATGTGCGTGTTGGTACATGGTTGTGTCAGGGCCAGACGAAAACAGCTAAGAAGCCGCGAACTGTCGAGAGGAATGGGACTGAGAAACATGCTGTTGACCAGCCTCTCTCGTTCGATGAGAACCTCTGGCTCGATCTTATTGAAGCTGTCGTCCGCACTGCCAGTAGTGTGTTTGCCCTGATCCAGAAGGAGCACGCGGAAAGTAAACTGACCCAACTGGCACCAATGACTTCGAGGATGGGGAGCAATGCGGCTCAACTAATGTCATCTGTCCGTACATTGGTACAACAGGTGTTCACAGCGCTGCTCTCCAGCACTGTCCGGGTCAGCGGAGCCTCGACCGAACGCAACGACGTTGCTTTTCTCCGAATTCTGCGAGCATTCCTCACTCGTGCGTCCCATTGGTCTCCTTCGCTTCTTGAACTCCGTGCAGTCCTGGCTTCCATCTTCTCGGCTTATACTTATGAGAAGTCACTCCTGGCCCTGGCCAACGGGATGCTGGACCGGGACCTATTTGTGCATGTGGACGAAGTAACGCGACTGCGTCAAAGGGGATGGCGGCCGCGAGGCCAGGTGTGTGAGGTCTGTCGGCAGCGCATATGGGGACCTGGGGTTGGCTCTGAATTCTGGGAGGCCTGGAAGCAGAGGCAGGCGGATGCACATCAACGCCGGGTGTCACGACAAATTGAAGGGCGACTTGACCCTGCGGTCGCCCGTGGGAAGGGCAAGGCGGCGGCAGTGGCCGAGGCGGGTCAGGTGGCACACTTCCATGACGGACATGCGGACGTGGAGTCAGTAGATGGCATGCGGGAATCTCCAGAAAATGGCAATGAGATGCCGATCGGGCCCGCGGTGGTCTTTTCTTGTCGACACTTGTATCACCGACAGTGTTTGCTGAACTCGGACCATTCTGGGCATACCAATCAATCGCATTTCCGACGCGAAGGGTCTGACTGGGAGTTGTTGTCATGCCCTATCTGTCCTGTACATAATGAATGAGTGTCACGATTTCAATCAAGCCCTTGTATGTATCTGTGCTTAATCCCCACTATGTGATTTCATGCATGTTTCTTTTATTCCCATTTCTCATCATGTTGGGTAGCAACATGAGGATGTGGCAGTTGATAGAGCCAATGATTGATAATTCTGAAGGATTTAAAGTGAGACAAGTTTGGAGGTTAAACTTTTTGGCGGCGGTTAATCGAGTTGCTTAATTAAGTCAAAGAAGTCCAACCCTAAACGGAGTCTTTGGGAATTTCATGACGATGGCCAAAGCGGAAAGATTTGGTTTCGAACTACTAGTAATTTGCTCCCGATCAGCTGGTTTCAAAGCGACGTATCACAAGATAGGACGAGAAATGCCAATTAAACTCCCCCAAAAAGGAACAGTTGACATCACATGGCCTCCTTCTCGATGGACGTTCCTCTTCAACTTTTCCCACTCATTATCATCTTGACTGTTACGAGAACCCTCGATCCTTGCGATCTGATTGACCCAGGCGCCTGTCACACTAACCCATGGTGCGAAGCTGACCATCATCGGAAATTAAAGAAAAGAAAAAAGACCCTGACATACTCCGTGCGCGGCGCGTCGCCCTGTTCATCGATCTATGAAATCGACTCTTGTGGAACGGCCCACGACGACATGAGGGGTGTTTTTTTTTTTCCCTCCCCTTCTCCAAACGCGCCCTCCGTTCCACGAACCGTGTGTCCCTCCAACCAGTTTGAAATATCCACGCCTGATGGTACCATTTTGGAACCATCTGTGATCCAGGAACATCCCTTTAAACCATTCTTTTCCAGTCCACACTGGCCGTGACTCCAATTTGCCGCTCACATGCTTCATCCATCTGCCATTCTCGGTGCCCGCGCTACTCGAGAATATGTCTCTTCAATGGCTTCCTTCTAGGTCTTAAGGCCTGGTCCGGTGGGCATATCATGGCTGACGCCACTTTTCTCTAGTATGTGAGTTTTAAGTTTTTTTTGTTTTTTTTGTCTTTTTTTGTCCCAGTGAGGAGTGGTTATAGGTGTATGTGATAAGGGTATAGGATACATACATTCTTCATGGCTATATATTGAACCCCCGACACCAGGGGGAAATCAAGAACCCACGACAAGAAAGCCAATCTGTAACACTCCTTTATCCATCCAGCGTTTGTTCACTCAGAGAGTGGCTTTGACGCTGCCCTTCCTTTATGCTGCTTGAACAATACACCTTTTAAGACAAAGCACATTGTTTGAACACTCCCTATATAAATACCATCACTCCCTCCTACCCCTTCACACAGCTTCACATATACCCTGCACATTCCTTTCTATTGTGATCATTCACGTTCAGAATGCACATACTATCCACACTCGCCCAGGTTCTAAGCCTCTGGGCTCCCCTTGCCGCGGCCGCATACACACTACAAGATGACTACGGCACGGACTCAACTTTCTTCGATAAATTTAGCTTCTTCACAGGCAATGATCCGACCCATGGTTTCGTCAAATACGTTGACAGAGGCACAGCCCAGAACACAGGCCTAATCAAAGCCGACGGATCCGTCTACATGGGCGTCGATTACACAAACGCCGCTCCAGGCGGCCGCCAAAGCGTCCGAATCAGCAGTAACAAAGCCTATAACCACGGCCTTTTCATTCTAGATCTAGCCCACATGCCCGGCAGTATCTGCGGAGCCTGGCCAGCATAGTAACGTCTCCCCCAATGCCCCTAGCTATCCCCAACTCAAAAGAAAAACAAGACTGATAATATCAAAGCTGGCTCCTAGGCCCCAACTGGCCGAACAACGGCGAAATAGACGTCATAGAAGGCGTAAATGACCAAACCAACAACCAGGTAGCCCTCCACACTAGCGACAGTTGCACAATTGACAATTCAGGCTTCTCCGGCTCCCTCCTCACAAGTGACTGCTACGTCAATGCCCCCGGCCAGGCCAACAACGCAGGCTGCGGTATTAAAGATAACTCGGCCCAATCCTACGGGAACGGGTTTAACAATGCCGGCGGCGGTGTGTATGCCACTGAATGGACTAGCGAGGCTATCAGTGTTTGGTATTTCCCGCGTTCCAGCATCCCCGGTGATATCGGTAGTGGGAATCCGAATCCGAGTGGTTGGGGGACGCCATCGGCGAGGTTTGCCGGAGCTTGCAATATTGATTCGCATTTTAAGGATCTGCAGATTGTATGTGTTTCCAATCCTTCCTTTCCTTGTTATTTTCTTAAGGGTGTCTGAGTTTCCGGTGGGATACTTACTGACCGGTGCGTAGATCTTCGACACGACTTTTTGTGGGGACTGGGCGGGCGGTGTTTGGGGGTCGAGTAGTTGTGCCTCGAAGGGATCTTGCAATGATTGGGTGGCTAATAACCCTGCTGCGTTTAAGGATGCATTCTGGCGTATTAACTCGCTGAAGGTTTATCAGGGCGGGGCTGCGAGCGTTGCAAGCAATGTGACTGAGTGGAAGATGGATGTAGGTATCGGAAAACGTTCGTTTATCAGACAGCGGAGGGAGAATTGGAGGAATTGATTTTGTAGGTTTGAGGATGGTGTACATCCCAGGTGGGATTTGATATACCTTGCATTTTGTATGGACAGACTTTTACTTTCGCTCATGGATGTACATAGGTATCTGATAGCTGTAAATGGCGACATTCTTTATGCATTTAACCCCAGAAAATACTAGACAATCAGGTAGACTATTTCAAAGAGTGAGGTATATCGAACGGAATATATACATTATGTTGTAATTATGCACCCTGTGCGCCTGTGATTACACCAAGGAGGCAATAACAGTCGATATGTTGTCCGCTTACTGTGGTGTCCAATCGTGCAGTGTACGGGGACATCACTCTGTATATCCAAGTATATCTCTCTGATCATCAGTCAGCCGGCCCCATTCGAGAAGCAACCGAAAGAAATAGATCTCCATGTCTTCTTTTCGTAGAGCTCTTTCGGCCCATTTGCGACCTTCTTCTGCGATCCAGCGCCCTTGAAGATTGTGTGGCTCCATCATGGCTTTGGGTTGACCATTATCATCCACACCAACAGGTATGTCCACGCCACCAAAGTATGCCAAGGTACTCCACAGGCCGTGGAGACGGACATCAATGGGGACAAAGTGCAGCCAAGCTGTGATCCGTGAGTCGAACCACTGTCGAAACAGGCCGGTTTTGAATGGTAGGCTGTGACTTTGCAGGAAGGGAAGGAATCGGCCGCTAAAGCCAGCACCATCTGCATCAAATAGAAAGCGGTAACTCCAGTGACTTTGAAAGTCGACCCGACCTGCTGTGCCTAGTTCCTGCTTTTGGTCTTCACAGTCCTTTCTGCAGCGCACGATCGGATCGGTAACGTGGACAGAAGCATTCAAGCCGAGCTTCTCTGTAGGAGCCAAGCCGTCAAGAATCTGATATGAATATGTATCAGGTTTGTCTGCAGGTAGCAGTACTGACACCTTGTTGTATGTATTGTTGTTAACTAGATGTGCCAGGCGTTGACGCGGCATTCCTTGCCATTGGCCGTCGCGACTCACGCCTTCCGACGTGCCGCCAATCCAAAAAAGGCGGTTTTCTTTTTCCACATAGTCCAGATCCGGGTACTCTTCAGAAGGCTCGTATTTTATCTTATCCACGTAGTTCCACGGACTAGGGAAAATGATGTCGCCAAATCCAGAAATCGTACTCTGGCTAAAAACCGGAGCAAGATCTTGGGTCACCTTGAATGATGCAGGTGACACGAAAAATCCGTGAAAGGATGCAAGGTCAGGTTGGTGGCATATATCAGTTGCCACCGTCCAGTTCGACGGAAATTGTCCCATGGAGTGGGGACGAATACAGCCCATGCATATGTGGTGTCGATCCCACATTCGTCGAGATCGAGCCTTTGACGAGTAAGGACAAAGAGCGCTTACATAGCGATCGAATATATTTACAAAGGAGCTGTCGGTAAACATGGTCTCTGTCGTCTGATCTGCCGGCTCAATGGGCGCCCATCCTTCATCCCGGTCGCTCGACCACCCATTCGTTAACCCCTCACCAGGAGGAGGTGCTTGAGATCTGGCTTGAGCCCTAAAAACAGACATCTTCTCCCAGGGCACAGAGACTCGTGGCTCGTCGTTAAGATTGAAGGCTAAGTCCATGTCAGGTAGGTGTTCAGAGAATTTCTCAATGATCTTAGCAGCACTGATAACCATCCAGGCATGTGTTGGTTTGATACCCTGCTGAACTCTTGCTGTCCCATTACGTATACTGATTGCACCAATATCGTTGTATGGGTTTGTAGCGAGTTGGTGAGTTAGTTCCCTAATCTTTTCCGGCGGCAAGGCACGAAACGGCAGTAGATTGTCGTATATCTGATCAAACTCATCAATGACGACAGACGACCTACTAGTGGCATACTCGTACCATTTGTCGAAGCCCCTATATCGAGAGTCAGTATAGCATCTGGTGAGTCTTCTGAATTGACTTACGGTGGTGGATGTTGATTGTATTTTGCTCGATACTGGGCAACGGCTCCTGCCAGATTCTTGCTGCCACTGGCGCTGGATTTCCAGCGATCATGATGTTGTCTACCCTCATAAATAAGTAGGTCGATTGGGTGTACATTGGCTACACTGGGTTGGTGAGTGATCAGAATTAACACAAGGCCAAATATGACTGAAAAGAATATTCGCATGAACACGTTGAATACGTAAAGGAACTGCGGTTCTTCTTCAGAGGCCGTTTGGCCACAGAGATATAGCATAACACCCAGGAAGGTAAGAAGTAGTGCAGCAAAAGCACGAGAGGGGAGGATCAGTGGGAAAGGCTCCTGCCCGTTAAACAAGACCGAGGCCAGCGTAAAATTAACGAATACCGAGCCTGCTAATATAGAGATCCCAACCGCACCATAAAATGGCATCTGGAGCCAGTTAGAGATAGGTTTATCCGAACTAATATATGATGCTTACTAGTTGAAATGCGGACAGTACTGTAAAAGCAACTAATAGGCCTTGGCCTGCTGCACTTCGTAAATAGTGGGAGTTGACAAAGCCGCCATCCCCAGGCGCCACCTTTTTGAGAATAAGCGCCGCGATTGTACAAATCACAGCAACCCCCTATGAAGTGTGGACAGTTAGATCATCTCAATTATGCACCGTTGACCACAAGTAGACAGACTTACAAGAAAGCCATAGCCCCAAGAAACCAACGCTTGCTTTTTCTTTCCATCCCGAGACCGGTTACCTTCCCGGCAAAATTCAGCAGCACCGATTAGAACCAAGGTATCTAAAATAACGCTGAGAAACCTATACACCCGAAACCGTGGATGTAGCCCGGATATGATAGGGCAGATGTATGTCGATTGCCTGCCTTCATCAAATGTAGTAACGAGAAGACCACCAGCCATGATGAATACAGCCGATAACACATTCCTGAAGCGGCTCCGACAAAGGTAGAAATGCGCGCGGCTGGCTACAGCGACGAACATGCGCAGATGCGCATTTGAAGGGCCTTCCGGCGCAATCCATTTCTGATTTGGTCGGCCACGCTGGTTGCGCCAGTAATCGTATAACGCAATGAGGAATGGGATCATGCACTAGAATTGGTTGCTCATTATCGGCATGTGTGTCCTGAGTCAGGCTTTTCGTAGGTACACTTACAGCATATCCCACTGGTGCGCATTCACCGTTGACATTGATTTGGTGATATAGAGCGATCCGTATGCAACCCATGCCCGTAACTAAACAAACTCCAATCCACCGACTCGATCCAAGTATTTTCCGGCTGGGAAAGTTACCATTGTGGTTACTCGGGGAAGGTGGCTCTTCTGCGGTGGAATTGCTAAGCTCCGTGAGGGGTATGGCGGAATACTTGTGCGCAGGAGACGATATTGTGGGGAAAGAGTCGGCGAATCTGCTCGTGATCAAAAGAGAGATAGCTGCAAAGAAACAGGCTAGGGTAGCAGATTCAAGTGGATGGTCTGTTCATTCCGTTGTGTTAGCTGCATACTTGCATACACCGTATATGCTGTTCTTTTTAACGCCCAATTGCCGCCCAGTACATTCCATTACACCCCATTTCGTCCTTAGCGCGAGAATGTATAGGATTGACTCACCAAAAGCGAAAGTGGTGGTGTAAGAAGTCGCAAGGAAAGTACAGCTCAATAAGAATGCCCTGCGCGCTTGGTTAGCTATTACGGGGCAAAGTAGGACAGTCACTTACACCAAAGAGGCTTTGAGCCCCGATTCGGCGGAGAAAAGATTCATTGAGACAGAATATGATCATGTGTGTTAGCACAGGAAGCCATTACAGTGACCAATTGCCAATTTGCATCATGCTGCGCCGACCAAAAAGCGCACAGAATACTGAGGAACAAGGGACTCGGGGCGGCTATGGAGCGACTATCGACTAGTTTAAACTGCCTGGGGAATTTTAAATTTGTTGGGTGGAGACGTCAAGGGGCGGGAAGGGTCGATTCGATTAAGTTGTAAGGTAGGGTAGTATGTACACGGTATGTACAGTCCTATGAAGGTCATAACTGTGAAGCAGAGACCCTGGAGAGGATATTGTACCTGACCCCTCCAAGGTTACTCCGTGTTAGGGGTGCGACGGTATCAAGCCAGCGGATGAATTGCGTCAACGAAACAAGGTCGACCATGGGTGATTTGCCCGTCTTTGCTGGAATGGGAGAGCTTAGACTGTCCGCCGTGGAGCCAGCCAGGAAAATCAAATGCACGCCAGTGACGATCATTGAACGAGGTCTGTTTTAGCCTTGGGTGCCGTGTCATGCCAAGTTTATTTTTGGCTGATGTTGAGCACCCGCTGAGCAAATCATATCACAGAATTGAAGCCCCAAAAGTTGCTTTTCTTTGGTGACGGTCGATTGGAAATGATAAGGTAGTTCCCGGCTCTCAAAAACTGCCGTGTCTCCCTATTCCATTGCATTCCATTGGAAATAGATCTGTTAATTGACAAAGAACCGACAGGTGAAAGAAGGGAAAATCGTCGAATACAGGTATCATATCATATGCAGAGATAGTCGAATATTCGTCATCTAGATGATGAAGCTTCAGCGATTGATGGAGTCCAACTAAATTAACCCAACTTTAATGCCCGGTCCACTGACTCCCTTTTCCTAATTTGGACGTGAGAGTGCTCTATTCCTGAAGAGGAAAAGTCGTGGGTTATGTAATCGCACGAGGGCGGTGACTCTTACTAGGCGGTGGCGTCTGGCAGTATGGTCTCCGCCTGATAACTTTTTTTTTACTTTTTCTTTTTTTTTTTGGCTGAGCAAAAAAGGTCACAACACACGGACGGCAGTTTACAATTCCAGACCCAGTCGCCGGAATCACTTTTGATATCACTTATAAAGGGTTTGGTCTGCGGTTTATAAGAATTCAAGGCTGTGTGTGGAGTTCGTGGTCAGTCTAGGAACCTGGACAATATCTCCGTACCCACTCACAGTTTTTTACCTCCAACGGATTCGCCTTTTCTACGAATTGGTTGCTTGGGCAGTTGCAACAGCCAGAGAAAGCTCCAACCACAATGCCGC